TGTATAAATTGACCTGAGATGTAGCGTCCGCCCTCTCTTTTTCTTTAAAAGGCGAGAGAAAAAGGTTTCTTTTTTATAATCAGTCCTTTTTTGTAGTCAGTCCCATGAAAATCCATTCCATTCCTCCAGTTTTCACGGGATCATTTGCGATCGACTTTAGGGATCACTTGCGGTCGAGGATCATTTGCGGTCCATTTTGGGGATCATTTGCGGTCTCGGGATCATTTGCGGTACTGTACAACACTCTTGATAGCAGCTGTATTTCATTTTGTACATCCAGTGGAAAAAGACAGTTAAAAACATCACAAGTTGACTCAAAACTCTGTCAGCTTCAGCTGTCAAAGTAAACAATTTTCAAGATGCTGCATAAATTTTACGCATGAACTCACCTGTCAAATTTTAACCAATCAGAGCGTAAAAATTGGACGTGGAGCGTGACCAACACGTGACCATGGTAAGAAAAGGTTTTCCCCGCCTGTCTTTTAAAAAAACTGGCTGAATTTTTGCGTCTGAAGTCAGTTTGAAATCAAAATCGTAATAGTGCGGTGCGATACTGACATAAACACAACATATTTCATATGAATTTAAAAAAAAAGTAAACGTGAGCCTGCGATCATTTGAAAACGAGTAAATTGTCAGCGGATAACTTCAAAAAATACTCGACCTCGATGGGTCGACACCTGAGCCCGCGATACGGCCAGGTGATACTGGTCAGCGGATACCTTGTTTTGACAGCTATCAATTGATAACAACATTGATGTACAATCAGCTTTCTCCTGGGCTCCCAAAGTAGCTAGAAAGTGTGAGAGTAAACATTGGTGTGCCTGTGGTGCGGACGGACGGTCGGTTGGTCGCTCGGTCGGTCAGTCACGTGATTACCAAATTTTCTGGGATGGGTAGATTTATTTATCCATGGTGCTCCGCAGGCGCGCTTCGCGCGCGGAGCTCCGCTATTATGCAGACAATAAGGTAAGTAGTCACCTACGTCATAACAGTACTAACAGAGGACCCAGAAATGTTCCCTGGGGAATCCCAAAGGAAACAGGGCAGGCTTTCTACTCTTCAATAGATCTATTCGGCTAAATCAATATTGTACCCAATTCAAATCCTTTGGGAATAAAACGTTTTGTTTCAGGAATTTCCATATCATTTAAATGTGAATGCCACATTATAATGCAAATACAATACACAAAGAATCTTAGCCCCGAGAGATTAGAATTGGATTTGAATTTGACTCTATTCGAGTCTGAAGTAAAGTTTACTGCTATTTTCAGTTGACGCTGGGTTCGATCAAAAACTGTATTTGCCATCACAACTCAAGTACAATGAACGTTCGAGAGCACAAAATACTACTTCCGCTCCACCGCTACACCGCATATGCAACGCAGTCTCTTAGCTTCTCTTACATCCCTAGGCAGTAGTAGCCTGTTTACAGACCCTCTATTTTCTCTTGAGGGCTCAACCATTTGACTTTTGAAGGGGGGAGGAATGGGTGTTTTGGTTTGAGTAAGAATTTGTTTCCCCAAATCTCTGGAGATAGAATTTTGACATATAAAGATGTGAGATTTTTTTCAGCATTATACGCCATGTTGAAAATTTTTTTGAGTGCAGGTAATTTTTTTTTCGGGCACTTAGAGATCATCGAGCGTGAATGAAAATAAAAACCGGGGGGATTATTGACCGCTAGAGTGTAAGAGGATGGGGGCCCTCGTTCTCGCGTTCCGCGCTCGCGGGTGCTGGTCGATTTTCGAAAGGAAAAAGAAAACAACGTCGGGTATAGGCTAGGGCAGTTGCATGAAAAGCTGTTTTGGGAACTAAACGCTTCTTTCCATAGCATTTTACTACAAGTAGTTTTGGTGTTAATAAAATCAAACTAATTGAACAACAAAATTCCGCAAGAAAGCTTCAGTCTTTTCCCCTAATATCCTGCAGTGTATATAAAACATCACCAAATCCTTCTCAGGTCGCATGTTTCTATATTCGCCAAAAAAGGCACAAACCAACGGTGAACCACTTACATAGAAAACAGTCGGAAATTGTTTCAAACGTATGATATGTTGATGTGTTTTTTAATTTAATTTCAGAAGGTTAAGGCTACTACACCTGTAGTAGTCTTGACACGTTAGACATACACTCGACTTTAATTGGCGTGGGTTGCAAACCGCAGACGTCAGCCAGATTTGATAACACCCCATTTTCGTACACAGATACAAGCACACAAAAACGTAAATTCTTTCCAGGAAAAGTGAAATATTTAAAAAAGGAAACTGCTTTAGCTACAGTTTAGAAATTCTTAATTCTGCTTAATTTTATTGCAGACCTGCGCGCCGATAAACCCTCACAAGAAATTTAAAACATTACGATAATTAAATTGGCCTTTATGTTGACAGGTGAGACAGATATGAAATTATTGAACTGCAAACTGTTTTATTAAGAAATAAGCTAGGAGAAGGCTTGTCAGAAACCAAATACCATTGTTAAGACGATACACAAACCACCTAGAAATATAGTTTTTTTGAATTTAGACATAATTTAAACAGTCGCCGAAGAGAAAGGAAGTTCCAGAACTGATCAATATCACATCACACTAATATACCGTTCAGGGTAATAGTTCTTATACTCGGTACTAGAACGAAGCTAAGCAAAAGCTTCCATCTAGAGATGGCTACCTTTTGGCTCAACGGTTTGATCTTTCTAAATATCAATGTTTTGATGGTGACATCCAACTCTGAATTCTGCGCCAGCGTTTTCAAAGCTCAAGTTGGTAAGTAAAAACACCTGTTCGCAAAAAAATGTTTTAGCCTACTTCTTGTAGTTTTATAACACAAAAAATTCCACTTTCTATCCATATAAACAGAAATTTAACAAATTTTAACATTTCAAATAATAAAAAACAGTTCATTTGGCCTATTTCAATATGATTAATTTAATATATAAAACGTTTTTTCCCTTTACGAAGCAACAGGAAGGCATATCGTCTTACCTCGGAAGCAGGTGTGGAGGGTCTTGAGTGTCTTCGAAAATTTTAGAAGTTTCCTTCTTAAGGTCCTCTTAAGATCCACTGGCCTCTGAGATTCGATAAGATACAGCTGTAAGCTCTCATTTTTCCACATTTCCTTCGTTCACTCGTATTGCCATCCGTTGCAGTTTTTCTTTCGCCACAGTAATAATCTAAGTATCAGGCTTGAAACTCCAAGATACTATCGTCGAAACAGACGCTGAAGTTTTGTTTACAAACCGACTATTAGCATATTCTGCCGGATAGGTAAAGGACATTTTTCACATTTTTCCTCCCATTTTTTACTTTCTCTTGTACTTTTTTTACCCGGTTCAAATAGCCCTGCAAGCTCGGAGTCCGTCCCCTGCCCCAATCCCCTGTTGGTACATCAAACCAGACTTGGACATTTATTTTTTAATGATGTAATATGCGACTTGAAACTGAAATTTTCACCACAAATTTCGGACGCAAAGATCTGAGGAAACAAGGTGAATCGACCTACCAGGTAAAAAATAATGGAGAGGAGAAGTCTGACGTCACGTTACCATGGTAGCAAAATGTCTGGATCACAAAAAATAGCGAGCTTAAGCAACGGCAACTTCGCAGTGAGAACGGCAAAAAAGCAACAGGTTTATATTAGCAAAACAACAACTTGGGCTCCTGACAAATCCAAACCACGATGCAGTCCACATAACGAAAAAAACACGCTTTACCCCTGTTTCACTGGAAGAATGAAATCGGTTTACTCGTGGAGTATCACCCGCAATTTGGAAGATCGAGGGTTTAATTGAGAACGGTCGCGTTACTCTTCGCAAGGTTCAAGTTCAACCATAGATCGAGCTTCTCCAACCCACTCTTAAATTTTTGCAATTCGGATTTCTTTTTTGTTTTTGTTTTGTCTTTGTCTTTTTTGGTTTGTAAAGCTGAAATTTTGGAGGGCTAGCTTAGTGGCCGTCGATTAATTAAGAATCCCTCAATTAAAACGATGAAACGAGACATCTTAATAATTAAATACAATATCAACACTGCACTTAGCAGATGGCTCCAGGCCAAAAATTGTTCAATCACCCATCTCTTTAATTTTACCATATATATGGTTCAATTGCCCCACTCTATTCCCCTATGAATGCCCAACAGACATAACATTGCAATAGCTAATTTATTTCCCTTAGCTTCCATTGAGTCTGGCCGTAAATCATTAGTATTTCAGAAAAATTTATATTTTTTAGCTCGGCAGTCACATGTAACACAGGCGGCCCAAGCTCATTTCATGAACGCGGACGTGACTCTTGCTTGCGAGCGGTGTTGTGATAGCAACGGTTTTTCTTAAAAGAGAGAAAAAAATGTATTTTTTTAAAAGTAAATCAACTTACCTTATTGCTTTGTTGTATTCTTTGTTGTTTGCTCGCGTCTCAGGCCGTTTTGAAGCGTTTTCGGCGAGTTAGCGCTATTTTATTTTAGTATATACTAAAACAGTGGATATTGTTTTTCGGGCGCTCTGATTGGCTACTCAATCAGTGAATATGCTGCACTATTCACTGAGGTAAGTTGATTTTATTTTAAAAAAATACATTTTTTCTCTCTTTTAAGAAAAACCGTTGCATCCCATACAAACCTTTGTAAATAACCGTTTGTAACACAACACCGCTCGCAAGCAAGAGTCACGTCCGCGTTCATGAAATGAGCTTGGTCCGCCTGTGGTTGCATTATTGCCTTTTCATCTTACTGTGCTTTTTTAAAATATGAGAAGTTCCCTTGAACAAAAAAAATACACTTGTTTTGCAGGCTTACTTGAAAATTTAGTTAAGCTCGACTTTCAAATTTTCATTTAGTAGTTCTGAATACACTCATGAATTAATAAATTGCGCTGTCCGGGAGCTGCCACTGCAATAGAGTTTTACAACTAAACAAACTGAAACTGAACACCCACAGTATAAGGCTGGTATGGAATAGCGCATCTACATGTAGCTACAGTGAAGTTCAGCGAAAAAAAATTGTGTCGATGGCTACTTCGAGGCTCATTCGTTTGTTTCTTCTGACTGTTAACCTTCTGATCGCAAGTTTACTGGTGACATCTATCTCGGACTTCAGTGGGAGCGTTTTTGAAACTCAGAGTGGTAAGTTAACACCTGCGGCTTTATAAAATGTTTTTCGAGACCTTTTTCAATGTCTCTGGGCAAAATATTTTTATTTTACTAGTTTTAGTCTAAAGTAGAGTTTTTTTTATTACATCTTTTAAATACTCACCATTTTAATAAATCTAAGATAACAAACTCGCACAAAAAAGCACTTTGAGAGCATTTTCATTGTTCCGACTTGTCTCATGTTAAAATTATTTTTAACAGTTTTCACTTTATTTTTACTTCTGTCGACTGTCACATGTATTTAATTCCAAGATTGTCACATGTATTTAATTCCAATTTAGCAAGCAAGAATATCTTTCATCATAAAATGTACAGCTAAATTCAATGAAAAAAGGTGTGTCCTTGGACAGGTTCATGTTTAACCCTACTGATGGTTTCATATTCCTTCGTTTTTCGTAACTTTATCTTTCAGACCATATTTTAGTTGATCATGTCATGAATGCGTCTACTGTTGTTGACGAGTTTGAATGTCACCAAAAATGCCTGAGAAATAACAGCTGCAAGTCATTTAATGTTCGTCCTGGTGCAGATATTGCAAAACGACTTTGTGAGCTGAACAACAAAACAAGCAAGATGACGCCGGAAAGCCAGTTCAAAAAGATGGAAGGATCTTCTTATTATGGACCTGTTAAGGTCAGTTCTACTGATTGAACATCAACCATGGCTTTTCACTTAACAAATAAAGAAGCCCTAACTGTGCCCTGTTCTGTTGTAAAGTACGCAGTGAGAGGCCGCCGAGAGCACGGAAAAAGTGTAGAGGGAAACAGGAGACGAAGTCGAGTGTTTCTCCCTACTTCTCGAGTGTTTTAATTAGGCGCTTCCTAAGCACTTTATAAAAGAACAGAGCACAGTCAAGGCTTCTTCTTTATTTGTTTTATGATAAAGAATCGGTTAAATTTCCCACGCGTTCTTATTTCAAAACAAACGTTTTTTTTCAAAGCGAACGAAAGTGTCGTCATTGTGTTCTACACTGACTCTCATAAAAGACGCTTAAAATACCCAATCACAATCCTTTTTTAGAATGGGCCAAATGATCTGATTGGTTGAATAAGCCAAAAGCTGTCAAAGCTGTCAAAGACTCAAAGCTATCACAAAGTGAAACGAGCTAAATGTTCTATGCATTTGAATGCAGAAGAAATGTAATTTTTACGTCCAAAACCAAAAATCGGTTTCTTAAGGCAAAAAGTGCTTTTAAATCCGGCCAATTCGGCGGCCTATAAAAACCTGCACATCATTAACATGACAATTTGGAAACAACTGTTTTAGCTTCTGATCGAAAAAACTGAATCTGAAAGTAAGATAAGATTCGCCGACGACTTGGCAGAAGTGATGTTGTAGTCTCGCGATCGTGACAACTTTAGCTCTGTGTTTTATACTCTCATAAAACATGCTTTTTCAACCAATCAGAGTGCGCGTTATAGCTGAACTTTATTATAAAAAAACTTCAAGAAAAAACCTTAGCTAAAAACAACTTAAAAACTTGTTCAGGTTACGACGAACACCCTGTTCGGTTTTATCGTATTTCAAATAAGAGATAACAGACAAATGTTTAAGTTCTCACACTTCTGGCTCAAAATCTCTGGATTTTTTGAGGTGTCAACATAACTGATGAAAACCAAAGCACATAATGACGTCATCTGTAGTTTTAAGATATGGTTTGATGTTTGTAATTTCAATTCGTTATTTTGTTATCAGGTTTCCTGCCAAGATTTGCCCACCAACAAGAAGAAACAAACAGGTCATTGTCATCCGGACTACAAAGGAAAAAGATGTGAAATTCGTGAGTAACGCTCGTCAATGTTTCATTTTGATTGTATGATTACTACACGGCGGAGCAAATATTTACCATAAATAGTCATTTGTTTTATTATCTGCTGCAGCAAGGCGAGGCTGGAATTCTAAGCAGCCTGCTTATTCCTGTAAGAGCATCCGGGACTCTGGTGACTCTAAAGGAGACGGGAGGTACTGGATCGACCCTGAGAACAGTGGAAACCCCTTGAAAGTTTACTGCGATATGACAACTGACAAAGGTGAGATCTGATCTTGAAAGTCTGAAATTGTTGTAATACATTGTTCAGATGAACCTACATAACTTCGTCATACAGGGTGGTAACTAATTCACATTCGCATAAAAACCACCTTATGCCTTTTGATGGATAAGTTATGGGTGAAAAGCTTTGCCCGAGACCAGGGGTGCTATAGACTCATCCAAAAGACGGTAAATTATTGCAGAATACCTCATTAAGTTGCAGTACAGTCAAATCTCCCCGAAAATCAGAAAAACCCAGAAAAACTCCCATAGAGAGATGGGCAGTGTTGGGGTAATACCTCCCACATGTGACGGATTCAATTGAGGGGAGTGGCCCGGCCCAGCTGTGGGACTTTCCCTCCCAGCTACGCCAAACGAAAGCTGAAGGGTGACTTGCAGCATGTGTAACCCGGTTCGAGAAATCCGAATGGGAGGAGATAAAAAGAAGGAAAGATCCTGCGAAAGAGGGAGGCTGGGAGGGAACCCCACAGTTAAGTCGAGTCAGGAAACCGTCCGAAGACTGGAAGAGGGGTGTGTTTAGGGACCCCCCTGAGCACGACTCAAGTGTGGGGTAGGAAATATGGGAAGTAAAAGCCCCCAAAAAATATAATATACAAGGAAGCTCGTGCAAATTTATTAAGGCTGTACGCTAGAGCAAAGAGAACGTGGTTACTGTAACTGATATCTAGCAGTTACGTTACCTTCTGTTTCTGCTATGTGACCTCTAAGGTCACAAGTGTAATAGGTGAGGAAGAATAAACACAGACACGCGTGCAAAACGTCTGCGCATGCGCAAGGTCTCTATTTTCAATAATTAAAATTTGCAAAATCTTCGCCATTTAAATTGAAAAACACTTAGTAATGTTTGATATGTTTAATGGTTTGCAGCCAGTTCTAGTATTAAGCACAACAAAAAATTGCTTAAACTAACTTAACTAACTAACTGATAAAGTCGTCTAGTACAAGGTTTTTCCGTCCTTGTTTTTCCACTTAGCATGCATTGTTCGTTTTCGTTGTTCACATTGACCGAGCTTAGCGACATGATGACCAAAACAACAAGAATGGCTACGGCGAAGTGCTGCCAGAGGGAGCGTGGACTTTCAAACATGATTTTCGCCTTTGGTGCAAGGAGAAAAGTATGTGGTGCAAAAGAGAGAAACTAAAGCAATTAATAAACTTTGTGTTCGTGAAATTCTAAGCTTATCTTTTGAGTGTGGAGCTTACTTTTTTGAATTTCGCGGCCGGAATCTAGTTTGTTTTGGTATCGCGTATAATTTCGATTGGGGGAGACACTGGCAAATTCGCGCCGGAAGCAGGGAAGGCACGCATGTGCACTGCGTTTTTCACTAGTGTCATAAACACAATATAAAAAGTAACACGTCTCAAGGGAACAGCTGCGAGGGGGCACGGAGTATGCTGACAATGCAATGTGTTGAAATTATGCAAAGTGTTGATAATACAATGAGTACGAAACGAACGGCAAAAATAAACAACTGGCCACCTTATTCTAAAATCTTTCAATACATACACGTTGATCATATTTACATGTATTTTGCGCAATATAAATATAAAATTATTATTATTATTACACGTAAAATGCCATAAAGCATCAAAGACTCTAGACCAAATGTACGATGGACGGTCGCGAAGTAAAGCCAAAGGTGTCTGTTCGTCATTGTACGTTTCACAGACGTTAAAGGGCACGAACGAAATTAAAAACATGCCACCGAACTGCGTTGGTTAGATCTTCCTTTACCTTTCACAAACGCTAAGAAGCGTCAACGTAATGTCTATCTCTTGATTGTACGTTTCACAGACGCCAAAAGGCGCCAACGTAACTGATTAAAAACATGCCACTAAGTAGAGCTGCTGGGATCCTCCTTTACGTTTCACAAACGCTAAGAAGCGTCAACGTAATGTCTTTCTCTTCATTATACGTTTCACAGACGCCGAAGGGCGCCAACGTAATTAAATGCATTCCACTGAACTGCACTGTTGAGATTCTCCTCTACGTTTCACAGACAGGAGTACCCAACGAGAAAATTTCAAAAGTGATTGGATATCGCTCCAAGTAATATTTTAACAGTCACTAATTGTTTTTTGGTTGATTATTAACTTCTCTGGCCAAATTATATCCGCTCCCCAAAGCCAGCAAGAGCTAGATTTTAAAGTATAATATCCAGCCAGGATCTTTACCTTAAGGGCTTTTCCCAGCCAGGATTTTTACCAAAAAGGCATGTCCCTAGCCAGGAATGTCTCTTTCTTCCCTTTTTTGCCAGCAAAAAAAATTTCCGACATTTAGCCAGCCAAGAAAATAAATTGAGCCATTTTATCCAGGTGATACAAAAAATTTAACTCAACGAAAGCTTAGTGGTATCCTGGCGAATACAAATAGTGTTGAGTTCAGTTCTTTCCAAGGAATAGGTTTCCAGACATATCTCATCGTTTTCACTTCGCTGGTGATGAGCAATTTGCTTGTTTTTGTGAGTTTTTGATATGCTGAAAAAGAACGTAATGTACTTATCACTCATCCCAAGCTTTGGATCCTTCATTCAGCTACTCTCAGTGTCCTTTTCATCACCGCCTACATCATCTCTGTCGGTAAAAGATAACTGATATTTGTTATTCAATCTATTTCTCCGTCTCTGTCCTGTTTTAGCTTAGTCTTGAGGAACTAATTAAGAGAAACGCTGTGTGTTCCTCCCACTTCGAATTCTCTCCCATGTCAAATCAAATTGTTTAAAAGGATACCCAATAGTTAGAATATATTTAATGTTGGGCATTAGGCAAACTAACCTCACATCTTGGGAAGGATTTTAGTATACTTCTCTTATCTTTTATTTATTTTTTCTTTCATCACTCAATGCTAGGCAAAATAGAACAATAAAACTGCTTGAGATTTTGTTCACATTGTGCTAATACACTGATAGCAATCGGGGGGGGGGTAACAAAAAAACGAAAGTAAATACAAATTTATTGTTAGTCGAACAGTCTTTAAGTACCTTGATAAGAAAAAAAAATACATTCAATCATCGGCATACCTTTCACTTTCCTTTTCTGCATACCGACTCCTCTTCATATTCAGATGGGGATCCATGTAGTCTTTGTTATGGCTTTCCATATTCAAACATACAACGGTAAATTACTACGTTACTATAATAACTACATATTATTACTCGCCAACTTGGATTTACTTAGTATGCAGCCCAAGACCGTAATCGCTCAAAAGTAGCAGTCGCTGGGGAAGCTTCAGAGGATAAAAGACAACTGTTCACAGCAAAGGCCATTACTGGCAATCACTGCAAAAGCTTTGCGAAACCTGTAAAGACAATTTCAGCAAAAGTCCTTTTTTAAGTCCAACCTCACACTTAAATCATACATAAACGAGAAATAATCGCTAAGAAAGCTTTACAAGGTAAAAGACAACTGTTCACAGACTCTTGTAAAGTATTTGAAATAGGTCGTTTCACAAACCGTAGTAAAATAAAATTAAGAAAACAAACAGTACTGCAAATGTCGATAAAAACCTAAAGACATTAACACCAAAACCTCTAATTTCTGCAAGCTAAAGGTGACCGTATTCGATGGAGCTCTTCAAGCAACAAACGAGCAAGGATTCAGGACTGCAAAATAAGAATTGTATGATAACAGATTAATCCCTTTTTTATTGTTTGACGCCTTTTTCGGGCATAAAATCTTTCCGTTGGTGAGACACAGGTCGTGACTGAAATATTTTACTTGAAAATTGTAGTCATTTGAGGCTCCGTTCGCACTACAACAAATTTTGGTTCCTTTACACCAAAAAAATCCGTCAACAGGAAGCCATTTCTAGTACAAACGATTTTTTACCTAATCAAAGTTCAAGGATTCCTTCGAGAATTAAAAAGGCCTGAAAAATTTTTGTCAGACGACAAAATCCTTTCATGACATTGATCAACGGCCCGGGCCGGGGGGGGCATGGTGCGGGGGTACTCCCTTATATAAGCTAATATATATAATAAAAACAAGCAGAATGTCAACTAACAAAATATTCATGTTTCTAATAAACCCCCCTAGCGGAAATGCTAAAATGCAAAACATGTATTGTAGTGCTTTGAAAAAAGAAAAGAGGAAGACCGCAAAAAAATTAATACTCTACTTATTAGCCATATATGGTTAGAACGTTTTGTTGTTTGCAAGTTAAGTTATTTGGAACTAGTTGATAAACTATTTATTGTAAAGACTCCAAACAGGTATGTATGTATTTATGTAGGTATGTGCCGTCCCATCGGGTAGGGTTTTGTGCCGTTTTGGTCTGAAAACGGGTATACACTTTGCCCATTTTGGTCTGGAATCGGGTATGGTTTTCGAGGGAACTACGGAGTGTATGAACGTATTTATCGTTTCAATTCCAAATGAATGAGAAAGAAAGAGAAATATGCGAATTCGAAATGGATTTGAACAATTTTTTTGTTTGCACTCTAATCTAAGTAATGATAACGTAATTTCTGCCTAAAGGCCAGGTCTGAAAACGGATGCGGAAAATTACATTTTTGGGTCTGAAATTGGGTCAGGATTTGAAGAACCGGGCGACACACCCCCATCAAGAATTCCCAGGAGTAACCCCCCCGGGTAATTTTCGCATCAGTAATCGTGCTTAGGTGCAATTGACATTTTTGTTTCCTGGCGAAAAATTTCGATCAGAATGAATGTGTTTGCGATTATATGAAAACATATGTAATAAACGAAGGGCATAGTTATGGAGGTCCGTGATAGATAATAACTTCGGTGAGTTGATCAGCAAAACCGGAAATCGCCACCAGGTAACCTGTAAAATATTTATTCTACGGGTATTTTCTTTAGGGGTTTGCTTAGATCCGCACAAATAATTCCGCAAAAAAAATCAGTGTTCTTAGTGAAAAAAATGTGTAAGTAGGTCTTTACGACGATACCCTCGTGCTAAAATTCCGCTTGTTCTATACCCTTTTTTTATACTCTGGAGGGTTCTATGTTTGACTGAGGGAAATGTGATTTTTGCCGCTTGTTTGGCACTGAGAGGTCATGGCACGCATATTAATATTCTGTGGTTTTGTTCCTGGTCGGCAAGATTTGCCCTCGGATGCAAGAGCATAAGAGTAAAAGTTTTAATAAACATCAGGGTTTACGTTTCTATAATTTCCTCCAAAGTTTCTTCTGTATCTGAATAACTAAGCCATTTACTTTGGTGCCATTATCAAGCTCAAAATGATAAAATTAAAAGGCGTTATTACCTGCTGGACATACTCTAAATGATCTCTTAACAAGGCTACTGAAACAATGACCTTTCCGCTATTGACTCAAGGGTGCACTAAAAATGGAACACAGAAAGCAAAAGGAAGGCAGTTGATATCGTAAAGTAACGTACTAAAACTTGCCACAAGGCATTTAGATGAAAGCAAGAAACAGTGGAAAGACTACTTACCTAAGAATCAGCAGAATTTGGATGTAGAAAAAGTTGCAACCGTAACATTCAGCTGCATCAAATTGGAGATACACAACGAACGCGACTATAACCGTTACTCCTCAGATGGCATTCCGCGTACCCCGTGCAATAAATAATAGGCGTCATAATAGGAATTGCGTAAGTCCCAAAATTGACACCATAACAAAAGAGAGGGATCGTTTACAGAGAAATTGCATTGTTTGCTGACAGAGTTTTAATGATTGACGTATTCAGTTTGTACACGCTCTTTGGTGCTTAATTTTAAATACACGTGCTCGACACTAGCCTGCGCGTGGTGCACCCTAGTTGTCACTCAAAGCCAAAGCTATCTTCGAACTTTCCTAACTAGCTGTCATTTTCCTTCTCCAGCCCAAAAATAACTGGCAACTAAATTAGCCAGAGCACATTCTTAAAAGCCGCAGGAAGCCAGAGGCGATAGGAAAATGTTTTTTCCAGCCAGCATCGGCATTCAAAATGAAAAACCACAGCCAGAAAAGCGTTTCGGCAGAGTTCCCAGCAAGAGTTTCTCATCCTTTATTTAGTTACCAGCCAGTAAATTCTTAGCCTGAGGAGCGGATAATTTGAGGAGCGGATCCGTTGGGTACTCCTGTACAGACGCCATGAAGCGCCGACGTAAATATGTTCCGGCTCGTTCTCGTTCTACTGTAACAGACGCAAAAGACGCGACAATAATCAAATAAGGGTCACCTTACCTCTGGTACGTTGCACAGACGCCTAAAAGCCCTAACGTAAACAAACTCCAGGACAGAATGGTGAAAAAGATAAACGCCACGTACGTAACAAATTGACAAGAAAAGGGGGAAGCGAGAAATTAAAACATGATACTTAGGTGGATGGTGTTGGTGCCGGTTGAGGCTCTGTCGAAGCAATAGCTACCGCATCAGCTGGGTCTGGTTAAACAGGGACGAGAGCCATGAAAGAGCTTCAGCGGCGCTGGCCGCGTTGCGGAAGAATGAAACTTGCTTGCCTGTAATAGAGTAGACTTGCGAGAAGACGGCGAATTTGTTTGCTAGGGCGTATGAAAGGCCTAGGAAATTTCCCTAGGGACCGTAAAGGACCAATAGACTGCTTCCCGAGGGAGCACGCAGTAATCTAGTTGATTAAATCGTCACGCGGCGGCTTTTATACGAATGAGAATAGGGAATTTATGCTGAGTAGGTTCTTAGGCCCCGTCCACACGTATCCGGAGATTTTTGTATCCGCGAATTTTTTTATGCGGATACAAAAATATCTGCGTCCACACGTAGCGTATACGAATCGTATACGACCGTCCACACGTATCCGATTCGTATCCGAACATCTCAAAGGATTAGTCAACAGAGCATGAGCATTAAGACTGGTTCTGATACTGTGACGTCAGCGTATACAAAAATATACGGATACGAGCGTCCACACGTTTCCGGATACACAGCGTATACAGAAATTTCCACTCTGGAGAGCGTATACAGAAATCTCCGGATACACCGAGCGTATACGGCGGGCACGTGTGGACGGTAGGTGTATCCGCATAAAAAAATTTGCGGATACAAAAATCTCCGGATACGTGTGGACGGGGCCTTAATTTGGTCCTTAATTTCTATGAAGGAGATAATAGATTGTTGATTACCAGAAAAATAAATTAACACGAGTTTGGTCCTTACGACTGCAGTTTTTAGTCACAATTTTATTTTTATAACCCTAAAAAACTGATTACTGAATTTATATACAGTTTGGTACAGTATCTTCTTGTTATACTTTCAGATTTAATTGTTTATCATAATTCAACTGTACCACATATTAGAACCTTCTTGATCTTGCTTGGCTAAACAGGCTCTTCTGTTTTTGGGTTTTAAAGGGGCAAATTTCTGCAAGAAGGTTCTTAATCCATCAGGCTTTTTTTACGCGAGTGTCTACCATATATGTTTCTTTGAAATTTCCCCGTGAATAATTTTATTATGCCTTCGAGGGTAATCCATCTTACTGCACTCGCAAATGAGTTGAGTTCGTGTCGCATCTTTATCTCCACACAATCTGCAGAGGGGAGACACATCCTGTTTTTCGATGGAAGTCTTGTTTACATTCGTCGTCAGTGCCTGATCTTGTGTGGCAGTTATAAGCCCTTCGGTCTCTTTCTTCAAATCCCCCTTCTTCAACCAATCCCATGACCTCTTAGCCTTGACTTGTTCTGTTTGACGCAATATCTGGCCATGAAGAAAATTGTCTTCCACTTCTTAATCTTCTCAAAAGTTTCCTCCTTCTCATCGTCTGTTTGTGGGGGGTTCCTCATTTTCTTTCTTATCTCTTCAAGTTCTACTGTTTTTTGCAGTGGTTCCGAGATGTTTTGAACGCAGTAGGCCAACTCCATCTCTTCATCGAGAACACACTCCTCCAGGCCATTCAATATACAGCCCCCGGAAAGTCGTTGAAAGTAGGATCGGTCAACATCAGCTCGTGGATGAAACATAACATAAACAGTTAACTGTTTATGATTATCTTTTTTTTTTCTTTTCTATTTCTATCCATAACTTCTAGTTCAGCTTTACTTTAGTTTACTTCTTCAGCTCCATGCCAGACAAATGACAGAGCCTATGAATTTGTTGCAAGTATAGTATTTTCCCACTGACATTGGACTGTCTTTAGTCTCCGGAAATATTCTTTCTTCAAAACGTTTTTCTTGTGCCCTTGAAATAGATCGTCATATTCCAGAATTCCCAGGTTCTTATAGCCGTCTTCTTCCGCTGATTTCATTTTGCGATTACCAGGCGAGGTAATCCCCACAATTTTCTTAACATTTTCCCTCTTTAACGCCACGCCTTTTCATACCAAACGTCATGCCTATATCCGGTACTGAACACCGAGTGTATTGACCAGTGAGTCAAGCTCACGTTCATCCTTCCCCTACAGCTTTAAGTCATCTATAAACAGTAAATGAATGATTGACTCCTCTTCTTTGTCTAAGTAGTATCTTCCTTATGGATTTTATTATTATGTAAAATGTAGCACAGGGATTTTTCCTGGGGAGAAATATCCAGTCAAGTCTCATTCCGAGACCTCAGACTTCCAGCACCTTTCTGAGGATATGTGCCGATCCGAGGAGTGCCGACTTTTGCATCGTTCTTGTTCGGTTTTTAATTCCTAGTTGCTCCAAGAGGCCTGCCAGCTTCTTTGACACTGAAGCCAATGCACCTACAACCACTGGCACCACTTTTGTCCTTGATTTCCAGATCCTTTGAATCTCTCTTGCCAGGTCTTGGTACTTTTCACACTTTTCAGTTTCTTTCTGCAGAATATTACTATCTCCGGGAACAGCTATGTCCACAATGATTGTTTCCTTTGCCTTCTTTTTCTGAATTACAATGTCTGGCCTCCTGTGATGGATTTCACGGTCTGTTTGGATGGTAAAGTCCCACAACAGTTTAACCTCCTCATTCTCTTCTACGCTTTTGGGGGAATGCTCATACCATTTGTCACTGCACTCAACTCATTATTATTATTATTATTATTGCTGTTGTTATTATTATCATTACGTGATAACGGGGGTTAACAGAGGTCCAGAAGCATTGTTGCGGGAAAGGTTCTCACGATGTCTAGCTAAAATGGACTGAGCAAATGAACAGAGATGTTTTGGATTGTAAGAGACGGGCCATTAGAATGGAGCCATCAGAAAACCTACCGCGAAACGGGAATGGTAGAAAGAGAGGCTCGCTGGGAACGCTGCTATTTGGTGCAGTTGAGGATGTGCACGAGTCAAATTATAATGAGATCGCTAGTGATTTGATTAAAGAAGCAGCGCTGAAGAACGAGAGGCGCTGGAGGTCCCTGGAATGTAGACGCTATGGCTTTCAAAGGATCCTTGCTAACAAGTCATTCAAGAATTCTGGCTCTAATTTGTGCGACGCTCTTGTTAATCAGACCTAATAGAATTTCGAAATATTTTCAGATAAAAGCAACTTCTTAAAAGTCTAGAGAGTGCGTTTTGAAGAACATGGGAACTGGTGTTTCCAGTTTGGAGATTATTCAGGACTAGAAATCCATGAAGATCTTGCTGAAATAGCGTGATTTGAAATATCTTAAAACTTTGTGACAGTTAATATCAATCTGCATTATTGACGGTTGACGGTAAAAAATACCCTTATGACGGTTGACGGTTAAATTTTTTGCCGTTTGGCGGCTGACGGTTAACCCTATTCAGTGAAACGGCCCGTGGCATCTCAAGTCTTCACACCTGGACAACCAGGGTGAAAATAGCAAAAACTGTCTCGAATACGGAGGGCAAATAATGCACCTATCAATGTAATGCCGGCGGGGGGGAGGCAGGGCATAGGTTGGGGATTTGACTTTTTTCAAAAATTTTCAATCAAATTCCCTGCCCACGGGCAAATCATTCCAGTCAAATGCAACCAAATTTCCCCACCCCAGGCTGCACATTGCTGTCAGTCCCAAGGCAGAACCTAAGAAAGGCACAATAAAAATATCTCCAATTAAAACTCTGCAATCTTTTATAAACGTTGCTGCATAACCAAAGATACATGTTCCTGTTACAGCTGCAATTATACGTTTTAACCATAATCCGTGTTACACTGCGTAGAATACATAAACCTTTAGGAGAAAGTCCACATTTTGTAAGTCTAAATATACCGTTCTTAGTTAAGGGTACAAAGAAAGTCAGTTTTATAAGTTTACAGTGATTGTAGCGAATGGGCCATACACTAATCAATTGTACTTGCAAAAATCGACTCGGCTTCTCTTTACTTCCGCTTACTTTGATACCACAGTATATTAAGAGGTTCAATTGATCAAAAACACGCTAAAAAAAACGAAACTTGAAGACAAAACAGTGAAATCCACTCGGCCTTCGCTTGCTCTCATGGGCCTCCATGACTTCCTGATCTTTTCAAGCCGTATGGCGCATTCGTGAAGCGTGGAAGCGGGAAACATATGTTCGGTCTCAGTCTTTTTCGTCCGAGTCGGCAGTCAAATATCTCCACGTCAGGCGAAGAAAGATTCAAATATCCCCTCCCCCGGGAGAACAAGATAAGTCAAATACCCTACCCCAGGGACAACAAAGACAATCAAATCCCCACCCTATGCCCTGCCCCCCCTCCGGCTTTACATTGATAGGTGCATAGGAACTTTTTACACCTTGGTACATGGCCAAATTGGCGACTTTCGCTACAAGTTTAGTCGCCAATTTTTTTTTTTTAAAAGCCATGGCGACCAAAATGGTCGCAGCTTGGAGCGCTGAATTTATTAGTGTTTTAAAATAATGTACAATTTATTGATTTAAGTTAAGCAGTCACGTGTAATTGTTTTTGTAAACAAAATTTGACAGCCAGTAATGCAGGCGTTTTCTCAGAGCTTGGGGATCGCTCGATTACTCTTTACTGATGCTCAGCTCTGCTTTCAAAAGAAGAGTTTCCCTTGTCCAACAAAAACCTGCTAATTTTGAAGACCGCCACGTAAATTCGTCATAGGCAGTTTCAATGGTGAATCCAAAGGGGACCGGAGTTACTGGATCGACCCTGAGAAGAGTGGAAACCCGTTGAAAGTTTATTGTGGTCCACATGAGAGTTGTGAGATCTGCTCTTAAAAACTGTTTTTCACATGAACTCACATAACTTCCCTTCAACAGAATATTAGTTAAAACTTGGAAAGCCTAAAACAGATCAAGACAATCAGAATTATCAATTACTGGATAAGGATAAGTGTGATATAAAGAATTATACAGAGTTGCTTCGGCATAAGAGAAAACAGACATTGTTTGCTGCAGGGTCAGTTTTTCTCTAAGTTATACCTGTACCTTTAAAACGGTTGTTTTTCCTTATTAAAAAACAACTTTCCATTTCAGGTGGATGGCTCCTCGTTTCCAACGTTGTGATTGGTTCAACTCCACCCTCTCAGCTTCCAGTCAAGACTTCATACCGTGGAATAACCAGTGATCAGATGGTTCTCACAAAAACCGCCATGAATGAGCTGAGAACAAACTTGTCTTTCACCCAACTGAGATTCCACTGCAGTAAAAACAATGGACGTACGTTCCACGTGACCACTGTTGCTAACACCACCGGTGAAGCTGTAGTCCGGTACTTCAGCGGTCAGACGGATGTCCAGCCCGCCTCGTGTGGCTCATATGTCAGAATGGAAAATGACAACTCAAGCCTGGCAAGAGTTTGCCAAAATTGGGGATTGGAAAATGGCTTGTACACAGTTGGCAAATGGGGTCATGGTCAAAATCAAGACAGGCTGTATATATACTCTGCTTTTACACATGGCAAATATCATTGGTACATGAACCCACCTAATTTTAGTTGCGATGATCATGATGGCACTCCACTTCCAACATCTTCTGGTGATTTCTGGAAAGTCTATGTTCGCTAAGAACTCGCAAAATTGATTGCATTGTCTAAATGTGTATCTTATTAAGAGACTTTCTTTGTATAGTTTTGGAGTGAAAATACGTTGGGTAGCAGTTATCATGTGAAAAATCAGATAGTAAGTTAGATACTTAAAGAACTTTTTAACAACTAATGTTCATTTGCATTTTATCCTCGTTTTTAGCTTCTATTTATTAATTCGTGTTTTCCTTATTTCCTCTTATTTATTTAAGCTTGCTTAATTAGGCTTTTTGCCTTGAACTTTTACCCGCTTTTCACATTTATTGACATTTTCAAGTATATAGCTGCAATATTTTGTCATATATACAATCTTTCCTAAGTTTCAGGTTTGCCTTTTATCATTGTTTGTTTGCATTTATTCAGTCAAGAGCATTTATTAAAATCAAATAGCAACTAAACGTTATTCCTAGAGAGTGTAATGAATGCAAGTAAAGCGTGTGCATTCACTCGCTGAGCTGATGTAGCGATGTCGAGTTTTAAAAGGCGAAAACTATGATTGGTACATTTAATAATATTCAAACCATATATGTGACCATATCGTTCGTCGCCATAAACTATCATTGGTGCATTGAGCCATATTCGAACAATATACGTGGCGATATCGTTTGTCGTAATAACCCAAATCCATCGTCTACTAGATTTCTGGAAAGTCTATGCTCGCTAAAACGTTGAAACAGTGTTTTTCAGTCCACATTCTTACTTCTTTTTTGTTTAATTATTGTAATGGAATCCGACATTTTGCAAATGTAAGATATATGAAGTATACTATGTTACAAGAATGAAAATGCAGAAGGTCAAATTGTAAGTTGCTCAAAAGAAGGGTGAAAATGTGGCTTTGGAGAAGAAAGTTAATTAACGTTACTTGAGAGTGATGCGATATGTTTGAACGAACCATTTTAGCTTAGCAATGCTATTAATTTACGATAATTTCTAAATACTAGTGCATAGATTCAACTTGTTCGATTTCAGTTCCACAAAATGTATACTTCTGTTTTGGTAGATTATTTTAAGGGATTAAAAACCAATTCGCCGTCGATGTTGCTACTGCTCTTAATTCTGCAGATCTTCTTGTTATTCGTCAGGATTTCCAATATTAGCGCTCAATATATAACACCATGAATGCAATACTGCATCATTCGCAAAAGTTTTACGTTAGTATGCAGACAATAAGGTAAGTAGTGACCTACGTCTTAACAACACTAACAGAGGACCCAGAAATGTTCCTTGGAGAATCCCAAAGGAAACAGGGCAGGCTTTCTGCTCTTCAATTCGAGTCTGAAATAAAGTTTACTGCTATTTTCAGTAAACTCTGGGCTGGATCAAAAACTGGGGGAATGGGTGGTTTGGGTAAGAATTTTTTTTCCCCAAATCTGTGGAGATATAATTTTTTCCCTGACATTCAATGGTGTAAGATATTTTTTTCAGCATTATACGCCATGATAAATATTTTTTTTTGAGTGCAGGATATTTTTTCCCTCGAAAACAGTCTGCACCATATTTTTTTTCTGAAATCACCGAAACCTCTCTCAAAAGTTCAATGGTCGGCCACTTAGAGGGCTATGTTTAAAACAGGGAACGGGGAATCGGCGAATAGGGATGGCGAACGGGGAATCTTTTTAAATTCTCGCTTTTAAAAAAGCGAGAATTTTTGAACTGATGTCTCCAGTCTTTGGCCCTCGTTAAATGTGAAAATGACCAGGAAAACTGGAAACAAATCGCTGCCTGACATATTTCACAATTTTACCCTCATCGGGCCGATCTTGAATCCCGTTGTTTGCTGCTTCACAGCACGGATAAATGGGACGCACTTTCACTAGAGGATTTGGAGGATCTGAAAAGGAACATGTTATTCAAAAATAAAATGCTTCTTCAATCTGTTCAGTAAGCCTTGCTATCGATTTTTTTGCATAAGAGTTTTCAAGATTGAAAAGAAACGAAAACAAAAAGCGGTAACAAACAGTGGGAAAAGTGAAGTACATAAAAAAGATGCATACTCGTTTTATCCGCCTTATCCGTGTTTATTCCTTTTTGTGTAATGATTCCCTTGCTAATAAATTCAAACAAACAGGACCCAAAATAGTCATGGATACAAAATCATTTACATTCACCCTCTTCAATAAGACAATACTTTTATAGAAGGCCAAACAAAGATACAAGAATTCAGGATCTAGGAAAACAACGGAAAAAAGGATTCACTACTTAGCATACAAACAATTTTCTTTGTCATTGACTTGTATTCCCTTTGTTTTGAACAGTCTATCTAGTCTAGTTGAACCTTTCCCAGGAGGTAGGCAACTGAAGGGGATTTCTAGCGTCTGGTCTGTCACGAGGCTGGAAAGGTGCGCAGGCTTCGTACAAGATCCAAACGTTGCGCCAGTCTAGTTGGCATCTCTTAGCATACTTTTCAGACGGGCTTAACCTTCTGCCATCACGAAGGAAACGGATAATCTTGTCCTTGGTGTCGCCAGTTTCCTTGATCTTGCTTCAGGACTTCCTCGTACGGATGATGAAGACAAGGGTTTAATAAATTATATAGAAGCATTCCGTAGGCCCACATGTCCACGACCAACAGATCCTCAACAGTGGCTCCTGCAAGTGAGATTTCGCTTCCGAGAAGAATTTCCGGTGCCATGTATGGTATTGTACCCTTGTCGATGTTTACAGTTCTTGATCGGCAAACAGATCGTGATTGCACAACTTTTGACCTACTTTCTCCAAATTCAGTGAGCTTGCTCATCACTGGTTGATGGCTTCATGCATAGGCAATTTTATCGCGATTTTTTTCCTCGCGGTAATGATGATTGCCAACAAGGACGTTCGCTATTTTTAAATGTGCGCGATTCCTCTTTTATGGAAATACAGTAATCCACTGCCAATATCTGACACGATCCTGTTCATAAAATTTGTGTCCACCCCATTACAATCCCCTTTGTCAAGGCAACTGATAAAGTCTTTCAATGAACTCACCTTTCCTCCGAAATGTGTTTTCCTCCGAAAACGCATAGGTCAAAATAAATATACTCCAGCATTAAAACTGCGACTGGCTTGTGACAAACAGCTTTAAATTGTACTACTGATATTGCCGTGATTGAGATCATGCAGTAAACGAGCTTCTTTAGTAAATGCATCGATAAATTGTAAAGACGAACCAAGCAATTTCTTTACAACAACTGGCTTGCTTGAATTCCTGTCCAGGTCTTACTCTTTAGCATACTTTGTCGCAAACTTAAAACCGCTCCGAACGAGCCTTACCCAACCACATCCTGTTCCCCTAGATCACTCCCTTTAAATTCTGTAAGGCCTTCAAAGCGAACGATTCGCCTCTTCTTCACCGTCAATGCCAAAGCGGGAAAGGCGCTTTGAAACTTCCAGGAGACAACATGGCGTAGAAAGAGGTAAAACGAACCACGTATTGGCTACAAATATGCGAATATTCCCGCCAAAATGCTTGGCAAAAAAATGATAATTTCTCTGTGGAGCACTGTTTAAAGTTGTCATGAAATATTAAATTCTCCTCAGTCTTCCGTTTCCCGGATGCGACAACCGGGGCTCTGTTTGATTTTTATTTTTTGAAAGGTAATATAAACCGGATCGCAGGTTAAAGATGAACGAGCTACAAATTGTAGTAGCTGAGCGGTGGTAACCACAGTCGTTTTAAGAGCGACCGCCAAGAAAATTGAGCAAATTCTCGATTTTTTTGCAAAAGTTTCGCAAAAAGCTCTTTTATTTTAGAGAATAACAAGTAGTTCAATTTGCAAGTTTAGAAGTAGAGTCGAGACGGTTTCTGGGGAGGACTCCTGTATAAAGAGACTGGGATATTTATCATTTCTCGCTTCGGAGTGTAAATTGCACATTAATTTTGGGTCTTGAAGGACGTATGTCCTGGGTAAGCTCCTGACCAGTAAAAAGTGACTTAGACGCTCGTCGGAAAACTAAAATTTTAAAACCCTCTAGAGACCAGCGTGGGTCAGCAGACCATGACAGAGGATTAGCAGTCCTTTACTTAATGATTATTAATGCACGGGATTTCACGTGCTTTATTTAAAAAATAATTGCATTTTAATTTGTCTAGGTAATAATATACACGAAAAACATGACTTACAACAACAAATTTTGACAGCGCGCGCGTTTTTAGTTCATTCACTGATTGGCTGAAAGAGACTACTACCTTTGTCAAATTTAAACTTTTTCAAGACCAACGCTTTCAAAATCATTCAGTTAAGAACTTGGAAATGTGCAAGGATTGATTTCACACCAGCCTGTTAAAGATAACTCGGTTTACAACAATCAGCAAAAGTAAGGGTTTTTAGAATCATCCTCGATTATGAAAGCGTTTACAAAAGATTCCCACTTTTAAAGATTCCCTGTTTTTAAGATTCACCATTTTAAAGATTCCCGCTTTTAAAGATTCCCAGTTTAAAGATTCCCGCTTTTTAAGATTCCCCACTTTAAAGATTCCCAATTTTAAAGATTCCCCGTTCCCCGTTCCCCATTCCCCATTCCCCATTACCATTTCCGATTCCCCGTTCCTTCTTTTAAAGATAGCCCCAGTTAGAGCTCAGTGCGTCACGAGATTCGACCAATCAGAATGCGTCATTTGTAGAGCAATTTTCGCGCTTGGAAAGAGCCGTTTTCAGAGGTATATGTTGTAAAATTTTCGCTTTATTCCAAGCTTGTGTAGGTAATTTCGACACTATGCCGCCGAGAAAAGTTGTTGGAAAACTTTATCTTGATAGTGGTTGCGTTATTTTTAAATATTTTGCTTTCTTGAGCGTTTGTGACAAGTTTGAAGGTTTTCTACTCTTCAATTCGAGTCTGAAATAAAGTTTACTGCTATTTTCACTTGACGCTGGGTTCCATAAAAAACTCTGTTTGCCATCACAACTCAACTACAATGAACGTTCGAGAGCACAAAATACTACTTCCGCTCCACAGCTACACCGCATATGCAATGCAGTCTCTTAGGTTCTCTTACATCCCTAGGCAGTAGTAGTCTGTTTACAGACCATCTATTTTCTCTTAAAGGGGCTATGTCACCAGTGGCGCATGCGCTAGCCAGTGAAAACAAACTTGAAAAAGACGGCCCGTCTTTTTCAAGTTCTGTCGGAGATTTCGGAAGGCTGTTTTTAGCTGTTGAAATCTCAGCCATCGTTCGATAGTTAGCGAAGTTTTGAACTAAGAATCGTTTCTGTGGTGATTACAGAAGAATGTTTTTGCATTATTTTGAAATTGTTCGTCCTTGAATTTTTTTTGGTGTATGTGTGTTCAAAGTACGTTGACATGAAGCGGCTATCGAAGCGCTTCCAGGCGGATGTTTTTATTAAACGATTACAACAGCGTGGCCATGGGTTTTGAGACGAAACTAATCTTCTGGCGAAGGAAATGTTATACAATTCGGCTAGATTCCTTCTTGTATTTATCTTCATTCACGACAACGATAAAAAACGACCGTTTACTCGTCCAGCTTGTTCTCAACGGACTTAGATAGCAACGGACCAGTACGAGTTAGATACTGTGGTGGTCATGTTTATGAACTGTTTGTGTTTGAGCATATTTTGGATAATAGCAGAGTTTACTTTCCCGTGTTATTCACGGACTGCTTACAATGGAGCAGTATACCAATGATACTTAATTCTGTTTTTCTCGACGTCGCAGTGATTCGGCACGACTATGGAAAGCCAAATGGTGCAAAATTCAAGAATTCAAATTTGATCACATTCAAGGATAACGATCACATTCGCATTCAAGACATGCAAATTAATCAAATTCAACAGGCATCTCGATCATATTCAAGG